GAAAAATAAGGTTGGAGTTTGAGAATTGGGGGGGGGGGGGGGGGGGGGGTGTTGGGAAGGCCTGGGGTTTGGTTTGGTTTGGTTTTTTTTTTTCTTTTGGGTTTTTTTTTCCTTCTTATTTTTGTTTGCAGCGCGACAGTTCCTCCTCCAGTAACCAGACCTGCTTGTGGAAGACTCTCCACTACTACGTAGAAAGTTGTTAATGCAGTTGGCCCTTCATAGGATCACATCCTTGAATGAATAGTGATCTTACTGTCTGCAATTACTGGCATGCACTGTACTAGTCTTTTCCCACCCCCCTCATGGCATAGAAGGAGTGCTCCTTATGTCCATTCCCCCCACCCCCTTGACAGTCTTTGAGTGGGGGTTCGTTTCCACCAAAAGAGAGAGGAGAAAGAAAGGGTTAATCTGACCTGGGACTTTGAAACTGTGATCTCAAGCTAATGTCTTTGTTGGGTTTCCTTTTTTTGTTTGTTTTTTGTTTTTGGTTTTGTTTCGTTTTTTCATTTTTACTTTTAATTTTGGGGGGGTTTTTTAAAGGAAAAAAAAAAAAGATGTGATCTTATCAGGGTTTCACTGTATATGCTTTGGAACTGGATGGAGATACTTTTTAAGTAATTATTGTTGTTAAAATGTATACTTGCTATTCTGTAGGCTCACTCTGTAATAAAAAAATAAACAAAAATTGAAAAAAAAATAATTAAAATTTACCTTCCTTCTCATGGTAGAGGTGACTACAGAACAGTAACGAGAGAACCATGTAAAGTGACACTCTCCAGAACTTCGGGATCTATGTACATTACACTACCCTGTAGTTGGTCTTTGTTTTATAAATCTCCATTTCTGATCCATGTATATCATATTATGTAAAATATTATCTCCCTGGATTTACCTTTGTGCGGATTATTGAAAACATTGTATCTTGTTTCAGTGTTTTTTCTTACCTTGTAGTCTGGTTCTAAAATAAGAGAGGGAAAAAAGTAATTATTATACATTGTAGTTTGTGTACGATATTTGTTGATAATGTTTTATTAAAGGGATGTCTTTTTTCCGCACCCCTTCATTCGAGATGTTTTTGGGGGAACATTGGCTCGTTTTTATTATTCTGACTGCAAGACATGAGATGACAGACTTTTTTTAGCGTGTAATATGAATTTTTTTAAATGTTTGCCTTCTTTTTCCTAGGCATTTTAATTGTGCTTTACCTGTAGAAAGTTGCTGGGCGGATCGGGGCATGAGGGCGGGGGGAGGGGAGGGGGGTGTCAGTCTCATAGTTACAGTCAGGTTAATATTTAAAAATAATAATAAAAAAAAAAAATCAAACGAAGATTTGTGGCATTGCGCATACACCCGTTGTCTCCAGAATGGGTCATCTCTTTTTAACTTTTTTTTTATTCTCTTTTTTTTTTTTAATTCTTTTTTTTTTTTTTTTGGTTTTTTTTCTTTTGTTTGTTGGTTTTGTTCTGAAGTGAGAAATGACAGACCGGCTTTAATGTATTTTAAAATGGATAGCTAAATTATTGTCTTCATTGGTATGGGATGGTTTTTTGACTGAAGCGGTTCTTTTTTTCCCCCTCCATGCTGTAATAAATATAAACATAAACATTTGATTTCGGTTCTCTGCTCTTTGTTACTGCTCTTGGCCACGAGGAACGTGAATCTCCCCCAACCCCTGCCCATTTATTTGTTAATTTATGTATTTGTTTGTTTGACTGGGGGTTTGTGGGTTTCTTAATTTTTATTTTATTTTATTTTGCTTCCAACGGCCCCAGGGCACGGCCTCAGTGATGGGTGAGGGTGAGGCCCAGCTGCGTCCTTCCTCCGCGCAGAGGACTCTTGTGCAAACTCGGCAGGGATCGGGGTTGGGTGAGGCTGCAGCGGGTTGCGGCCCAGGGCTTTGGTCCTTTGAATAGAAGTCAGTAGGGGGGAGTATAAGCGCCTTTCCTCCGCCCTGCATCTTCCCCCAGCTGTCTGACCGCTGCCTGGAGCGCAGCCGTGAAGCAAAGCACCCGCTTGCAGTCCAAGTTACCCAGCCCTCAAAGCAGCGCTTGCCTCCTACCTCCTTGGGGGCCTGGTCACATACGTGAGCAAACCACATTGGGTGGAGTGTCTCTTTGGGACTGCCTTAGCTGGGGACTCGCAGTCCTGAGATATTGCGTCCCCTCTCCACGGAGGTGCCTGAAGCCTCAGTGAGAGTGCAAGGGTGATCCTGACGTCAGAGGATTTACCACCTTGCATCCCAAATTTGGTTCAACCTCGAAGGGCAGCTAGGGTTGTTTATCCCTTGGAAGCACATGAACGATTTCCAGGTCCTCGTCTGCGGCAGGTAAACCCTTGGGGCTTTCGAAGATGAGGACTGTCTGAACACCGGGACTTTCCTCCCTCCTGCTGTCACCTTCCCGTGTGAGAGGACTGAGTGGGGATTGGGAACCCTCGAGAAGTCGACAACAGCATTAAAATGGATGTCGAGGTGGACAGGGGTGAGATCCCCCATTTGGGGGAAGAGGGCTTTGTTTGGGACAAGCCTCTGGCTTTCCTGCTGGTGGGGTGAACAGGCACCCCTGTGCCCCAGGTTTGCTCGGCCAACGAGCCTCTTAGCAGCCAAATGCAGGAAAAAGTATTGTCGGTGTGGGTGATGGGGGAGCCATTAAATTTGAAGCTATGAGGGGCTCCTTTCCTTTGCCTGGTCCCTACACCCCTCTCATCTGCACTTCTTTCCATGTCCTCCAGCTCATCACAGAGGAGTGGGCTAGGGGGCAGGGGGGGGAGTCCCCCCCCCCCCCCCCCCCCCCCAAGGCAATGAATTTGAATGTATATATTTGGTCTCTCTTCTAAAAATCTGGAGTTTCTCCCACTCCTCCCTCCAGGGGTGGCTTGTATACAAGTCCCCTCCACGCTGTGATTAGGTGTAAAGCCGGAGAGGGCAGCTTCCAACACGGCTGACATCAAACATGCAGCACAAAGCAGGGAGCAGAGTTGGGGTTTGGTTGTCAGCATCTGCAGCTTGGTAAGCAAGGGAGGAAATCGCCGTTAAGTGCTGGCTAAAAACAACGCTGTCAATGTTTGTAGGTGTCAAGTCGGCACACGTCCTAACGCACCTCGGGAAGGTGCCGGTTACCAGCCGCAGGTCAGGTGCCTTATCTGGGCACCCAGTGAAAAGATCTCATTGATAGCATCCAGGATACTGGGGTGCTGCCACTCCAAGGTGGTACCGCAATACCGGTAACAGAAGTTCACCTTTAAATGTAGGCATTGTGAAGGGAGCAGTTTCTGATATTGCCTGCTCTTTGCAAGCACTCGTGAATAGTCCACCTGTTCGGTAACGCTGTGAAACAATCTGTTACCAGATCTTTGTTTAAATGTTTTTAACAAAAAATATTTTTACCAAAGTTTTGCAATGAAAACTAGCCTTTTAAATGTCTTGATTTCTTGGGTCTTCAGAAAACTGAGGTTTTGCAGGCTGGATGACTGCTAAATGTCTTGTTAGGAAGTGCTCTGTGATGGTTGTTCTCCATATTAATTTGGCTGATTGGGAGAAGGTAAGTTTGACTTCAATGATGCTGCTTTTCTTTTCCTTCCTGTAGTTTGTAGTCAAGTCTTGCAGTTGTTTGAATGAATGTTTCTTATAAATGATCTAAGCGCACTGGAATCAGGGAGATTTAATGCAACTCCCTGGAAATTCCCACAGTGGAGGGAACATCTTTGTGTCTCGTTTCACGTAAGACTGGAATAGTGGAATAATGGCTGTGCAAAATGCACCCAGAACGGAGAGCCGGCCGCAACGCATTGAAGTGTTCTAGGCATTGGTGGGGGAGAGGGAAGAGTTATTTTTGCCATGGATGATTTCACCAGAGACCCATCTCCACGTCCACTTCCGGGATCTCAACGCCTCGCTGCTCACTTCTCAAAATATCTTTGCATCGCCAGGAAAGGTTTCATTACCGGCAGCCCACAGAGCACACGCTGCGAGAACCACTGTTCTGTGCGATTTGAATCGGACTGATTCCCCAACGTGTCCTAAACACTTACCAAGAAAAATCAACCTGGCTGCGAAGCTTGTTAACATAAGGGTCAGCTGGAAGAGTAGGTTGTGGCTTGTGAACCAGGAAAATGCCAATGTTTCTAATTATAGACCTTTGCTTCGTGCATTTGGATTTGTTTCCTGTTTCACCTAATGCTGCAGATTAGTCTGCAGTGGAGGCAGCAAGTGCTGAATGTTTCTTCTGTTCAGTGTAAATGTATTCTGCCCTTCTGTATGTGTCGCTTTATAGGAAACATGCATATTCCTTTAACATGATCGGCGCTGTTCATTGTCTGCAGATTGCAGGTGTTGGTTTCCATTTAAGCCACAAGTTGACTTTCCAGTTAAATGTCTGAGGATTGATAAAGTTACTGGCAAGATACGTTTTCAGCAGGGACTGGAAGTCGGTTCTTTTCCTAACTCTGCCCATTGTTCAACCCGCCCTTGGACACGTCACTTAATGGCATGGTCCCACAGTTCCCAATCTCCAAAATGTGGGCAGATGGAGCTGATATCTGGTGCAAGCAGCTTTGTAAGGACAAAGGGTGATCCTGCTAACGGTTAATTATTAATATGAAAGTAAGGGTTGATCTTTCCACGTGAATATGCAATTACCTGTCAGATGTACGGTGAGGTCTAGCATAGCAAAGTCCCTGCTGCTTTCTCCCCAGCCCCCCCGGGCGCTGCCAGTATCAGTGAGTGTACTTTTAGGTAATTCTTGTGAATTGCTGAGGGGGATTTAAATCCTTTTCCATATCCAGCTCCTCCATTTCAAAGACGAGAGTTAAAAATAAGGTTGGCCAACTCTTGGATTGGAGGTAGAACAACACCCAGGTGCCAAAAGCACCTCATGAACAAGCCAGGTGCTCTGTGTTTCCTAAACTTTTGAAATCCTTATCCTGCTTTCATCCGTCAGGGGCTCATAGACTAGGATGTACTGTAGCAATGGCCTGCTACGCTGCCTGCTTGTTTATAGAGCCTGTATTTCCTATGAACTTTGTCTGCTACCCGGCAACCCATCTGCACTGCATCTACTGCACAACATCCCATTGCTGTCTCTGATCTGGGTACAAGAAAACCCCTGAATGCTCCCTATTACATCTGGTGTGTGGCAGGCTGCAGAGAGAGACCTGACTTATTTGGAATTTATTCAGAATATACTATCTTGACTACAAGACAAGGTTTTTAGTTGTGTCTCATCTTACTTTCTCATACAAGGACACTGCATTAAATATGTTGTCTATCTTTGAAATGCTGCTAAAAGCAGCATGCATTCAGTAATGGAAGCCAACTACGAAGCTGATTAAATGCAGCCAATGCTGAGCATCACATGACCCACATTGGGCAGACATGCTGATGGGAGCCTCTTTTGTGTGTGGCCTGCAAAAAAAAAAAAAAGAAAAGAAACGGGCAGGTGTTCCCTCCACAGGGAATGGGCACTGGGCCTAGAAGTATTGCAATATTAGACTGGCACCAAGAGGGCCAGGGCCAGCCCTGTTACCCTCCTTTGGTGCCAAAAATGCTTGATCTTAATCAAAAGGTGGAGTTTGGGGGGGGGTTGTGAAAATTCCTCATGTACCAAGTCAAATTAGCCAGATCAGGTCTGAATTTTTTCAGTCGTTCAAAAGCCTTGTGGCCCTGCTACCAGCAAGCATCCTCCTCCCCAGACTTTTCAGCTTTGGGCTTCAGATGCTTCCAAATCCTTCGGCAAACATCCTAAGTGCAGGCCTGGAGGCCCCCAAGTTTCATTTGCCCTCAGCTGTGTAGCCACAGGAGCAAGCGAAGAAGGAGTCTCTCATTTCCATGAAGTCAGCATGTAGCTGAGATCTGCCCACTGGAAGCTGGCCAGTGGGAAGCTAACTATGAGGCTCTTGTAAGGAGTCCTGTCTGCAAGCAGACAGGGGTGCACCCTCCACCACACACAACCATTTTTAAGCCACCAACTTGGTCAGGGTACTTTCCCCTGCCAGGTAAGTATGGGAACCAACCACAAGAATAGGTTAGTGCAGCCCACCTGAGTAAGACATGGGTAGTACCTATTAAATGCAGCCCTTCTTGGTGCCAACTCATTTTTTCCTAGTCATGGTGAGCCACTAGATTGAATATATTTATACTTCTTCACTCCCACAATTAAGCTGTGCCTTTCTTTCCCATTTCCAATGAATCCTGTTTCTTCACCAGCCTTGAATATCTGGCAAACATCACCAAACAAGCCCCAAAAAGTTCACCCAGAATCCCTCTATTGCCCCCTCTCTCAGCCTGGTGCATACAATTAGGGTAGCCACATCTTCCATGAGGTTAAGCCAGACTAGGCTGCCCTATGTTTCATCTGCATATTTTTGGATCCCAGGACTCATGACAAGAGCACACAGTTCCAGCCCTTAGTGGGGGCTAATTAACACACGGATCATTTGTGGAGTGTGCATACATGTTGAGCAGTGCTGAGCTGTGTGGTCACTGTGGTTTGACTGTGCTGGGTCCCAGCCCAGTGAACTATGTGGTAAATCCTAAGCCTTTTGGTTTTGGACTAATATCATGCATACGGGAGATCCCATGATCACAAAAGGTAGTTTTCCCAGGGTGAGGC